CCAAGCGTGAGGCGGCAGGGGTTGGAGACGGCGGATGGCAACAGGAGGGCAACAAAATATGTGTGCAGTCATAGCCAAGGTCCGTTGTATATGGACCCTGGCTGAGCCACGCTAGCAATCAACCAGATCCCCAGATTCGGAAATCAATACTTACTGCATGGGCTCTGCTATCATCCGCTGATTCGGTACACACATCCGCTGTCATCCACTAAATTAGCGGATGGGGTATGTGGCTTCCGGTCCGTAAGAGAATATCCGTTAACACCCAAGCGGAATCTGCAAAATCCGCTAATTGGGGCCAGCCGTCCGCTGCCATCCGTACCACGTCAGCAACAGAGAAGCGGGGTCCACTAAAATAACGGATATTAACGGACGGCAACCCCCGTCTGCTATTAACGGATCCGGGTGGCCACCTCTAGCGTCCACGCGGTGACGGTCCACGACCGCTGGCCGGTGGCCCCGGCACGCCTGGGCTCCAACTTCTACCTCGCGGAAAATGACGCAGGCAAGAACAGAGCGGAGGCCTGCCACGACAGGTTGTAGAAGCTCAATACAGTGGTGGGGTTCAGTGCCTCCGCCGCAAAGCTCAGGATTCAACATGGTGGTGTACACCCTGCTCGATCTGGCGGATGGGGATCGATGCCTTCTGCCATGGCCATAGTCCGCCGAACGCCTTCGCGTGGGCACACATCACGGGCCTATTCACTGGCGTGTTCTGCGACTTTGGACCCTCGTCCACCGTGGTGCTATAACTTTGGCAGCAGGTCTTGTTTTATTTAAGCTTTACAACATGGTTTACAACAAGCCAATTGAGGACTGGTGTGGTTTTTGGCTAGATGCGTGGGCGATGTGCCCACAACGGCACCCAATCTAGACCGGATAGGCCTCCTCTACCAGATGACGGCGGGCGGTCTGGGGCGCTCGCTCCTTCTGGGTGCGCAATATGGGCCCAGGCCTGCGATCGGCCAGGTGCGGGGTGACAATGCGTGCAGTAGGTGCGCAACGCCGGTGCGGCTCATGGGTGCAGCCATGCAGAGGCGAGTGGTCAGCAAGAGTTACATAGTCGGACATCAGGATCACCCTTTGGCATGCCCCTGTCACATAACAGTGCGGACAATATCACTGTATTGATAATATCTCAAGGTGGAGGGGTAATCAAGTACTGTATCTTTTGACGGCTATAACTCCACTACCGCTAACCCAAATGGAATGATTCAAAAACCTATGGGTTCCTAGTAATCTATACTAAAGGATGAGAATGTCCACTAACGTTTATTGTACTTCCTAAATACCCATAAACAAAGAAACGTACTACGTCCTGTGCTTTGCACCACAAGGAGTATCACAACACATTTGTGAACTTGGCTCTTCCTTTGATAGCAATGGCAAAGCCCATCACACCTAAAACTATTAAGCTTTGGGAGCTGGAGTGGTCACTGTGGGACCGGTGAATATTAAAAGGGGACCTGGTTGTCCGCGAAGTGGTGGACTAGTTCAATGAAAGGGGTATGAAGGCTTACAATATGACCAATGAGGCCACCCTACTCTATAGCAACCTGATGCGCAACCACAAGGATCGCCCAGCGAAAAAAATCCTGTGAAAGTTTGAAACAATTTGTGAAAATTTTGGGAACGGGGGACATTCCATTGTGGAAGAGCTACGTAGATGCAGTGGTTGCATGCAATGATGAACAGGGGGGTGACCTGGACGTCCCACTGGTCAGCATCAAATTCAGGTGATTTTGTTGGAGTTGAGCCAAATGCTATTGTGACCTATCTATAGATGGGCTTTCCCTTGGTGACAGCATTACTCAACAAATGCTGAGGAGGGAACGTCCTGCTTCGCCTAAGCACACATGATTGTGCTGGTAATGCCTAGATGGCCACAAGTAGTTTCTGCTCTAGTCAGTGGGACCATTGTTTGTTGGGAAGAATTGTTGTGGATGGCTACAAAGTTGTGCCCCTGCCATATGGAATTGTTGTCTGGGCAGGAGTGAGTGTAGCCACATAGAATTTTAGGGAAATGACAAAAGGGGGTCCTATGCAGGGGTGCATTTGACAAAAGGGGTTCCTCAGACCGGCCCATGTACATTAGACACGTTGCCATGCCGGTGCCGGACCAGCGCCAGTGGGCAAGGCGGTCCTACTAGGGGCAAACCCGTAGAGGACCCCCTTTGTCAAATGCCCCCCCGTAGGGGACCCTCTTTTGTCACATAGGACCCCCTTTTGTCAAGATATCTCACATAGGACCCCCTTTTCTCATTTTCCCTAGAATTTTTCTTTGCCTTCTCACCAGCAAACTACATTGTCAAACGGCATGAATGCATAACATGACATCCGTATGTCCCAGAGCGATTGTTGTATGCGGTCTGATACAAACTGCTGGACTTACCAGTGTGTAGGACATTCATTGTTGTGCTTGGGCACCTCCTCCCTCGCACCACATTTTCGGGTGAAATGGTCCTTTGTAGAGATTCTGGCGCTGAATGACACCGAAAGATAAAGAACACAAGACATAGGCGCACGGAGAGGAGCCCATGCCGCCTGACCACAGCAACTGTGTTTCTGTTGAGGGATATCAGCTCTGCCGCTCAGGCACTGAATCCGGCAACCTCACCAGCCACGGACACCATTGTCGTTCAAACATGACTAGGCTCCACCCGATATGTTGTGCGCTGCTTCCAGCGCGACGCACGACGAGCAGAATGTACAGCGCTCCAATCCTCTGTGGTGGCCGGGCTGAGCGCCTACAGTGACATGGGCCGGTGCCGTTTGGCTGTTGGGGATGGGATCACCACATGTGTTCCGCACCATGCGACCTGCTCCCACTGGGGCACCGCCAGGTTCAGGAAACGGGACAATGGGATATCCATAAGTGCACACACACAGCTCCATCAGGGCAGCTTTGTGCAAAGGAGCACACGAGGCGAGGGTGCAAGTGTCGATCAAGTCGAGCAGTGCAGGGGACGCGGGTGGGAGCATGGGCGGTGCTACAACCCCATTTGGTTGAAAATTGCCTTCCTGGCAAGGGGAACAAGCCAATACAATGCATATACAGGCTGAAACATTGTGCGCAGGCATGTGCAAATGCCGCAATCTCTGACAGCAGAACCATGTCACAACCACATGCCACAGAATGACCGACCTAGGACACTGAACCGCCACGTCAAACAGATCCCAATTTCATACACTATCCATCTCCAGCCATCTCTCTCAGACGTAGAACATGACGTTCTTGAGACTATCGTGGAAATTTGCAAACTGTGGCGCTCCGCTAAAACCACTAGCCGAGCTCGCATCGTCAGAGGTGTCCCTTTCCACAAGCAGTCGTGCTCTCATTGCAGCGAGATGAGCGTAGTAGGCAGGAGGAACTACAGAGACAGACCTGCACAAACGGCACTTCAAGTGTTCCTACCGGCCAGGTCATGTGGGTTTTCATCGACAAGAAAAAATGGGTCGACACAGAACAACTACACAGTCCAATCGCTTGGTGTTCGCCCAAAGGCCCCACCTTACGGGACACAGTGGGCCGTAGACCAGCAGTTTTCTGCAATACGTTTCTCAAGCGCAGCAAAGGGGGCTCATGTTAGTCACACTGCTGCTGGAGGATATGTCTTACGTCTGCCTAAATTGTGTCTCAGGTGACGTGTGCTCAACGACACCAAGCTGCCAAATGTTTCTGGCTCGAGGGACTCATCTGTTCTGGGTAGCCTTTTCACTGTGCTGCAGAAGTTGTGGCCCAAAGCCGCACTGAAACCTTGGCACTCTATTCCTTTTCTACAGTATGGGTAGTCAGATGCAGCAGTGCCTAGAGTCTGCACGTTTCGATTCCTTCAATAGAGACAGGTGAGTGTGAGAAATTCACATGGCAACCAAGACAAGTTCCTCAATGTGCTGTGTGCCATTGCTAGCTATTGTCTGATTGTGGCAACAGTAAAGCCCGGGATGGGCACTTACACAAGCACAGCACATGCACAGCGTGCAATTGTGTGCAAGTATAATGCATGCTGGAAAGGGGTGGGGAGGGCTGGGGGGCCCAAACCAGTGGCAAGGAGCAACATACCTGGTGCAGCGGCAATACAGGTAGCACAGCCAGTAGGTCATAAGCTGAACGGCATCAGGTCCAAAGTTGTTCTCGTCAACGAGGACGTGGTAATGCGATGGACGACTTGTCCCTTGAATGCCAGCATGGCTGTTGAGGAAGAAATCAAACACTGCTGGGCTGGTGATCGCTGTATCCACCACAGTCCCAGGCAACACGTTCCCACTGCGATCTGTGCTGCCACCAGCAGGCAAAAGCCGAGTGTGGTGTCGTTTCTGGACTATGATGAAGGTAATGGGAGGGCAGTACGTGCCATCGCCATTCCCCATTTCCATACAAGCCTGGTGAGCAAAGGTCCATTGAGCAGCTCAGCTCAGATTCAGTGCAATCGACAATGCAAAACACAATACAAGGTTGTACACGAAGCACACGTCACTCTGACAAGCTCCTGCAGAAGTCATTTGCCACAGTGAATCTCGGCTGGCTCTGCAAAGTGCCACACGCATTGTTCTGGACCAGCACGCACAACATTCTTGGGGAGGCAATTTATGGAACCAATCAACCAGACATTTGTAGTCTGCGGTTGCACAAGTAGCATCGGCTCTACCACTCATCCGGCAGTGCCACTGCCATAATGGCAGTGGCAGTGGCATTAGCCACAATAACTGGGGAGAGCAACAGGATGAATCTTCCAGCTTGTCCTTCTCAGAAGGACACCTTGCAAAGCTCAATGGATTGCAACTGAACACAGCAATGCATAGAAAGTCTATCACCTTGCTGGGAAACGTCCCAAGGCCATTCGCTGCCAGATGCAAAATAGAGCCTCATTCCTCGCTTACCGTTCGGATGCAGTCATATTCGTTGGAGAGGACAGCATCAAACTGCCCTTCAGACACCCCATCCCTGTAGACAATTATGCTCTCCGGCTTCATGCGGTTGTTGTGTTTAAAGAATTCCAGTAGGAGTTCTTTCACCAGCTCCTTGAAATCGTTAACCAGCTCCTGGCCATGCTGCTGGATTTTTACCCGGCATGCATAGTGTGAGCCAGCCCTGAAACACAGGGAAAGCAGAATGACTGCTATTTGTGCACACATATATGTTCAATGCCTATTGCCAAAACACAAGGGCACAGGCAGAGGGGCTCCATCACTTGAGTGTCTGCTGAAAGGTGTGTGGGAATCACAAGGATGTGATGAATCTGACATTCTTCATCCCACCACAGCATCTGATGACTTGTAATGCATCTTCGTCATGCTCAACACTCACTGGGAGAGCCAAGAACTGCTTACCTCCAATTTGAAGCAGCTAAAACAGGGGCAAAGCGATGCTTGATTTGGTTAAAATCGTGCCAACAGTCTGTGAGAGACAAATGAGGAAGGGGCAAATATGGTTTTGCCTGTGAGCAACCAGCGACCACAAAAACTGCAGCGTGAAAGTAGAGTGGCGAATACACAAGACACGAAGCTGGCAAAATGCACTCACGGGTCCATGCTGGCAACAAGAGCAGCGATCGAAGGCTCAGATTCTTCCTGGCTCTGTGGGTGAGACACATCGACGCCCAGAAGCATGAATGCTTTATCTTGACCAATAATAGGTATGCCAGAATTCGGCACATCGACAATTGCACAATTAGTGCCACCGAGCTTCGTGTTGATTTTCATTGCGAGGTTGTTGCAGTATTGGTCACGCCCTCTTCTCCTTGCATGTTCGTCTCGTCCTTTAAGCAGTTGACCAATGCCTGCTTTTGGAGCGCAGATACACTGGCTTGGAATCCCCCTTGTTGCGTCACATGTCAGCTTCACACTCTTGTAGATCTCCTTAGCTGGCAGCCAACAAAACCAACATGTATCAAGAGTCGTCCAAGAGTCAGCACCGTGTTGTCACCAGTCACACCATTAGACACTCAGCATTAGAGCAATTGTACCTGTGCAGTTGCGCAAGCATACAGATTCGTTCTGCCTGCCTCCTGCACTGACAACAGAATGCAGATTGCTGCCAAGGCTTGCATGACCAGTTGCATCAAAACGGTCTGCCACAGCATGAACATTGTCGAAGTGCGAACAAGTTGTGCCACAAACGCTGTCCCCAATTCGCATGTTCATGGTGCTTGAACAAAATTTATAGTGGGCACTGGTGTCCAAAGCGACAGGAAGTGGCTGTGCAAGAGCAGCACTCCGCAAATAGTTTTCTGGCACTGTTGGGTTTGTCCAATGGCACTTCAAGAAGCAAAGGTGATCCGTGCCTGCAATCTGCAGGCTCCCATGCTCAAGCTGTCCTATAAACACTGCACTTTTCTGCTGTGTTCACAACAAGCAAGGTGTGCAGGCCAACATCAGCAAACACATTCAGCATCAAGGATGGGTGTCAACCCCACAACCTGATGTAAAACTGTGAAGAGCATGGCTTATGCAGCAACAGCATGGCATGCATTCCCAGTTCAGATGTCTGTGGCCATTCTGTGCGTGCTCATCTGAGGCCACTCACCATTGTTTGGCAACAGACAAATGATTATGTTGGGCTCCTTGTCCTCAAAGTGGCGTTTGGCCTTGTCGATGGCTTGCAGGATCTCCTCTCTTGGAGACAAGCGAAATTGTGCGTAGTGCACCACAGGGCCACCTTGGAACTTAACCCCTGTCTTTCTCAAGACGTCGATCAACGCATTCATGAACACATCTAGTCCAGTCTCACCAGGATCATTCACAACACGCTCATCACAGAAGGATACAAACGCCCAACTGTTGATTTTGCCACGCCTGAAGAAGCTCACCCCTCGGGTAAAATTCCATACGCCCTGAGTCCCCACGTCCATGCATGGTGGATCCTTGTATTTCAGGTGCGGATGGGGGAGGATTCGTGCATCAATCTGCAGGGGTAGATGGGAAGTCAACTATCAGACAGCCCAGCATGAACAAACGTCTCCCCACTTCCACCAACAGCGCACCACACACCCTTCCTTTCATGGTCGAATCCCAAGGCCACGCATTGCGGCATGGTTCATCCCCACGACTCGTGTCAATTACGCACATTCACACTACCCAAATTGTTGTGAGAAATCATGGTGCCGTGCCCTTCCAGCCAACAACATATCATCAGTACCTCTGTGGGCACTACCCAAAAGTCAGCCACCCTCCACACACAAATGTTATGGCACTTGCAAGACAATGTGCCTGCAACAGCTCTGTGACCACAAAGTCCACTCTGCAGCACACATTCTGGTGCAGACCATGCCCCCAAGCCAACAACTGGAAATATATGGCACTCATGTTTGGAAGCGTTAGCATTCCTCAAAACGCCAATCCTGGGCATGGGGTGGCATTTCCACATCACCATATTTCGATGCACGATTCACGGCAACCATATTAATGGGTTTGCTGCATTTGGTAACCATCTTTCCAGACAGAGATCTCCACATTCAAGCATACATTTATCCGATTTGTGCACAGCTTATCACCAGGAGGACTGCTTCATCAACCCCTGGCCCCCATTTCACTCCACCCCCACACATCCACACCCACACACCAATGAGCCCCTTCCCAAACATTTAATAAAATCCAAACAACACACCTCTTGCATCTGACTGCTGACCCGCATTCCGAAAGCCCCAACTGTGGGGTCATCGTCGAACTGAATGCGTCTCAGCACATCCTCAATATACTCCTTCCTTTCAAGAGGCCTTTGTGTGGCACTCCTTATCATTTGTGCCGTCTGCTGAGCATTCAGCTTGCCCTTAACCTTCTGGCCTGGCAGAATTCTGGGGCAACAGCCTGGGCATGTCAGATGCATCCCCAGCCCACAACAGAAAACAGGTAACTGATAGCAGGATGAACAGGGCAGCTTCAACAGTAGCCCTGGCCACTGCAACACTGCGGTGGGCGCACCGTGGGCATTGATAATTTTGCCGGGCCACTGCTGTTGCAAATTGTTTGGGCACTGTTAAGGACATCGCAGGCAACAAGCTTCTTGGTGGAGATTCACCTGGTGAATTCTGCTGGGATGAAGATGGGCTTCTTTGTGGTAGAGCAGTCCACTATCGGGAGGTCAGGATACCGCAAACGTTTCCCTTTGACTGTCTCAAAATACTCCTGGACGCTCATGTCCCTGTTGGAGTGCTTGTGAAAGAACATAGACTCACATGGTCGGTCCCTGCCAATGCACTTAAACTTGTGCACATTGTCTTCATCGAAGATGGACACTACCTGCAAGTGTTTCAAGAGCTCTTTCAAATTGAAATGCAGTCAGCTACACCTGGGACAGAGGAATTGTCCACAGGCCACCTTGTGCTGCGAGATCATTGGCAGCCAACATAGATATGTTCCTGTAAATACTCACACTTCCCAAGGCACATTCAGTTTCAAACAACTGTACAGAATACAATGAAAAACACACGAGGTTCCAGATAGGTTCCAGATGCAGGCACCACAATTTGTGTACCAGAAGACTGCAGCTGCAATCCCAGTGCACCTTGACATTCTTGAGCTTTGACTTGATCTTTTTACATGCGTGCTCATCGGCCCCAATATCCAGCAGAATGTCAGAAATCAAGCAGCTGTCAACAAAGGCAGTGCATGCAGTGTCCACATTGAGAGCCAGACCACCCTTGCACGGCTTCAAACTCTGGTAATATCCCATCCAGGCCTGTGTAGAACCACAAGTTCACATGAACAAAGAGGGCAAGCAATCGAAGAAGAGCGTCTATGCTGAAGCACAAAGGCCCTTGGGAAACAACTGCATACCATGCTCCCAGGTGCTTGTTAGGGTCACTCAGCTCAGTTACTATTCGATGGAGAGCCCTGAAACAGCTGTTCCTGCACAAACTGGATACAGCCTCCACAGAGTCAGAGTTGGTTGCCCTTTATGTCAACAAACCTGGCAACCCACAGCATAACAATCTGGGTGTCAACAAGCCAAATTTCAGTGGCCAGGACACTGGCAGGACACTGGCAGGGCTGAGCTTCGACACCATGATGCACAGGATTTGTAATCATGCTGTTCTATATGGCAAACTTAAATCAACTGCACTTGTGCCTTTCTTCAACTTGCTGTGGGCATGAGCGTGATGCCACAGCTGGGGGTCACATCATGGGACAATATCAATTCTGAAGCAGCAAAACCACACACAGGGGCCCTCACCTGCGCACCACCCCCAAGGCTGTTGCCCCTTTGCTGGGATTGGAAGAAAAAGTTGGCGTTGTGGGCGGTACATGCAGGATTCATTTGTTGTGTGTGTCGAAGGGCAATGTCCAGGACCTGCAAGACCTCCTGTGGCAGCCTGTCTGCTCTCCCTTGGATGAACTCGAATAAAGAGCGAATCGCCACAGGCGCCACCAACTTCATTTTGACCTGGCAAAAGCAGCGCACAAGGGCGATGTCAATAGCCGACAAACCACACTAGCGCGGTGTCCTTGGGACTCTTTGAGACCATGAACATTCAGAAGTGTTCTTTGATGCCACCTTTAGGAGTTCGTGCATCACCTGGTACTTCCTTTGCCTTCTTCCACGGGATATGGTCACATTGGTTGCTGTCTCTTCTCTTGGACAAATCTCTTCCGTGCTGTAGATGGCATGCTTGCCATCATACACCCAAGTGTGGCCCCAGCGCTGTTGGTCAGCAAGCTGCCTAATTACTGGGCGCGTTTCTTCAGCCTTCAGCCTGAAATCGATGACCTGCTGGCCCCCTTGTGCATCTGAACACGTGCATTGACAACAATGGTCGCAGTCAGCATATGGGTGCCATGATGTCACAAAGCAGCAGTGTTCATTCCCAAAATCGCCAGCAGTGGACACCTGGGTGCCAAATGAGGAAGCTGTGTTTCACCAATTATTGTGCTTCATGTTCGCAGCAAATGACTGGCACAATCGTTGTGGGAAGTGGATCGATTTTATTTGATCCTTTCATTGGCTGTTTCATTGGACAAGTAGTTAGGAAAAGGAAGTTGCCAGCATGTATCAGGGCACAGCTTGGGACTTGGGACTTGGGACTTGTATGGCTGCGGTTGCCCAGCATCGCCATGGAGGTGGTTGGGTACTGCTTTGCCAGAAATCTTGAGGCAATAGGTATGAATGTGTAAGCACAGCAATGTCGTCAAACACCATGATGTCCTGGGTTCTGCACTGCTGCTCTCAAGATTCTACCACTCTGTACACAACATCAGATGATGCAGACATCCAGCATGCAAATATCCAAAACATCACTGCTGGCTATGCGACTATAGATTACCATTGTACAAGTTCTTCTCAATCGATCGTCAGCTCACAGCTCTCTACAGTGTTGTGTGCAGTGTGCTGCAACATCAGCACAAAATGCCAAATCCTGCTACAGCCTGGATAGCTTGCAGTGATGCAGCAACAAAACTGGTTTAATTCCTAAAGTGTAGGGCACAGCCCCCAGTTTGAAGTGGAAATGCCAACTTGGGGACTGCAATCATGACTGACAACATCTGCCACCCAGTCACACAAAGTTTGTACAAGATCCACAAGGTTCTTATGCCATTGGTTGTGCTCCGCCTGTGCGAAATATAGCAGTACGGACAGAAGACAACGAAATCTCAATTCCACTGCTCAGGCTAGCTTCACGTGCATTCTGACCCATCTGCTGTTTTCATGGCATGCCTCGCCACGTTACTCCATGAATTTGATGGCCACACCCGCGTCATGAACAATGGAACCTTTCCATGCACACTGCTGGCAAGGCCCATTGCAGGCAGTGCACGTCTGATGTTCAATGAACATGATGCTGGATCACCATTTACTGGACGAAACCTGGTCAAGGCATTATGTAAGTTGACCTTCCCGAAGATTCCAGCCTTTGAGGCAGCCCTTGCAACAGCCACGATGGGTTCTTCAATGCAAGAACACAGGACTTGAGACAGGCCAGTGGGCATCACCGTCAAATATCTGATTGACTTCTGTTGAATAGTGCAGCGCCTCCTGGGCACGGCAGTCGACCAAGAAGTAGTTCACCAAAACCCTGATCGACCGCCCCAGCCTGGCAGGTTCGTACTTGGGAGGCGGGGGCTTGATGCCTTGCTCCTGCGCAAAACCACAGTCCACAGTGCGTGGCGTCGGGGTTCGCATCAGGTGCGTGCCACGTCAGACCGCCCTTCCCATCGCATCACGAAGGAACTCGCGCAGCCCCTCGGTGTTGAACCAGCCAACGCGGCAACTTACCGAAACCCTCGGTCTCCCAGTCTGCACGTGAGCAAGGCAGTCCCTCACTGCCCCCTTGCCCTGGTCCAGCGAGCATTCACGGAAGTCCTGCGGCGGGGCCGGCCCTGCTCGGATCCAAACCACAGCATCGCACGAAGGACGTCATTCACGTCCATCCCAACCAAACAGGCGTCAGGCCACATCAAGAACCTGACCGCCCAGCGCATCAAAAGCATGCGTCGGGGAGGGCGCTAGCATTGCCGCCACCTCGAGGGCTCGCCCGCCCGCGGCGGCGCGGGCCCGTGGGCGGAGCGCGAGCGCTGGGAGTCGGTGCCGCACCTCCGCCTCCCTGGAACCCCCCTCTGCCGCGGCCGCGATAGCCCCCTTCGCCGCGCCCGCCGCCGCGGTAGTCTCCCCCCCTCCAGCCGCCGCCGCCCCTGCCGTACCCGCCGCCATCCCTCCCATAACCGCCGCGTCGATCCCCGCCGTAGCCGCCTCCCCCCCCCCGCCACCCTCCCCCCCTTCGGTCCGACATCGCCTCTGCCCCTGCGAGCGTCGAAACCGCGGGTCAAATGCCACGACTTCACAGCGCCAGCAGACGCCTGTGTCGGCGCCCAACTCCCCGGCAAGACGACGCCAGGTTGCGCTTCCGAACGCCAGCTTCTGCGGCGAACGCCACCGACTTCCGCCCACGACCAACATGCCGGCCATGAGGCATCACGACAACATGCGCCCTGTCCAATACTCCGGGCACGCCAGTCAATGCGGTGTGAGAGTTCGGCCGCCGTCAGGCTGTGCCGCCAGTGGTCAGCGCAACTGTCGAAAATCGAGACAGACCCTCAGCCAACAGCCACCTGATCTTGAGGGCTGATGCAACCGAGCAAAGCCCCGTGAGGAAGTCCCTATCGCGGCCCATGCGCGGCAATGTGCGCCCGCGCGCACGCACCTGCCGCAAGCAGCCCCGGCCGTGCGGCGCCGACCGCCGTGAGTGAACGACGGGATCCAGCTCGGCGGGGGCCCACGCCAACTGCCACGCCTGCAAAGCGCGGCGGTACTTTAGCCACATCAACGAGCCTCCAACTTGGTTGGATTCTGGCACGGGGGTCCAAACCGCACGCCCGCCACATCAGCATGCTGGAATGTGCTGGAGCAGCATGGTCACCACTTTTTGCGTCAAGCCGGTGGTGCAAACCAGTCGCCGCGGTGTTCTGGGTTCGGAAAACCCAGCTTAACTGCTGAGCTTCAAATTGTCAGCAGCTTGCACAATGTATTCAAACAGAGCAAACCGTTGGGATTGCTAGCAACGTTGCATGATGGCTAGGGTCTTGGGCAAATGGAACCTGGTGGCTACATCCTTGCCCCACCAGGTGATATTTCTTGAATTGGCTTGTTGCCTTGAGTCATTGATAGTATTCGCCAAATTAACGGGACGAATCACTCCCCTGGCACCTTGGTGGCCTTGACAGAAATAACTCCTGGCACATTATTGTTCACCATTGTTGACAACCCAAGTCCTTTCCCCCCCAAGCCCTGCGCTTTCACTGACGATGCGTGTCCAGCCATTTCAGCATACATGGGAGTGCCGTGGTGATCAGCAATGCTCTTGCGTGTGTTGGTGATGAAGTGATGTCCAGAACATGCCGACGAGCACAAACGATACTGGAACATGAAATGGTGAAAAAGATCTTTGTTGATATACACAGTGGTCCGTGCGACACCCCATGGAATGCCTGGGACTGTTTGCTTCCATTCGAAAACTCGTTTGTGAGAGTCAAGTGTAGCTCCCTGTTAAGCACACGTGAGGTTCAGTCAAACTGAGATGAAAATATACCCTCGATGCTGAGGGATCATGCGTTTTGCTTCGATGACAGGCAACACATCCGGAATGCGTTGAAGGACCCAGCCCTGCCTACCAATTGATGCATCGCAGACAAGAAGTGTCAACGTCAAACAATCTATCGTGTGGTTGCCATTCAAAAGCGCCAAGCAAGAAAGCCGCAGAAACGTGGGGAATATCAATTGGACATAACCAGAACAAGCGCCTTTGATCTGCTTTGGATGTTGTGACGATGTGGAGGTGACTGTTCCCAAAAGGATACAACAAAATCAATGGCCTGCGAGTTCATGTTGAGAACTTGACACGATGATTTACAGGAGCACAGCGACCGCAACTTGCTGTTGAAGAGCTGTCGAGTAGTGGCTGACTTGTGAGAGTTCGCAGGATCGCTTGGCACCTTCGTTTTACTGCCAACAACTTCTCAGCAGCCTGGAAAGATCACGTACAGACAGTGGGGCATATGACAATAAGGCTTTAGGATCAGTTGGGACGACACTAAGCTATCTATACCACGGCAGATTTTGGACACAGTTGGGTACTATACCTGGGTAGAATTGGATATAGTTGATCCACAAGGCATGTGTATCAAAAGGTGTGTTATTGTTTGTGACGTTGCAATACAGGCGTCCTTAGCGTGCAGAAACATAACACCTCCTGTCCAAGTCCAATATTAAGTCGCACCTAAAGACATAAGCTGTATATGCAGATGGATGTGGTCTCCAGGATAGAGTGACTACGAATGTGCATGAAGCGGCAGTACCAGGGCTTGGCAGTCTCTTGAGCTGTTGGGGCCACATCCTTCGTCGATGCGCTATAGGTGCTGCGTACATCAGGACATGTGCAGGATGCACCACCACTGGCATCTATAGGGCAAAGTTCAATCCTGATTCAAATCCAATTTGCCAGCAACACAACAACGATCGATTAGATTCAGTCAACCAACCACAACTACAACCCTGTCGAGAAGCAATATCTTCAGGACATTGCCTTCGTAGGCACTCCTGCTGCTCCACTGCTTCACAACAGAAATGCCAATACTGCACGATGTGCACAATTTCCCATGCTTCTGTGCTACTATGACAAAACAAGAACAACATATGTTACACTGTGCCCAGCCGTCGCAAGACACCCAATCCTTTATGTCACAACGTTTTAGCAGCAATATTTATCTGAGGCGTCGACACTTCTTTGCCATCCTCGCTGCTCACACTGCCTTCTCGCTGATGGGCCATGAATTCAGATCCCCGATTGGCAAACAACCTCCTCAAGTTGTATACAGACAGATCGGCCAGGGAGGAGCATGTGAGGTCTGCTTGCCTGAGCTCATAGCAGCGATGCTTCCCTTGCACCGCCACAGCCTTCATTGTACAATTGTGTGCAGCGGCAATGCCCTGCATAGTTCCCATCACATGCACAATCCGTATTCAGATGCCTCTTCTGACAACAGTGAACAGTATAAGCCACAGCAATCATTTCACATGACACGATGTGGCATAAGCCACACCTGCCTGCTTCAATATCCACCATGCAGTAGTGGCAAAGAGGAAACCTGGGGCAACGGGTCCACATATCCAGCCCAGTTATCAAACTGTGTTAACAGGCTGTAGCCAAGGTGACTGCAGCATGTGAAAGGCCAGCGAGCACTGCAACATTTGAAGTTAGACTCCAGAGGACACACAGCAAAGAAAAGCTCAACATCAGTGGTGACCAGACCTGTATATAAGGCCCATTGTTGCAAAGTTTTCAAGATGGTGCATACGCCCAACACTTGACTGTGGGCTTGACAAGAAACTGAAGAGCTTTGCCATGGTAAACGTACACTAGCCATTTGGTGTGTCCACAGTGAAGTCTTGCATTCAAAGTTGCACAGGCAGCGCACATTGAAGCATAAAAGAGGACATGGTGTGTGTGGGAAAGACATGCATGCAATGGTTCCCTTACAGCACATCGCTGCAGGCTGTCACGAACAACTCCCCAGCCACAAACCAGCCACACCTGGCCACCCACACTACACACCTCAGGAGCATTGCTGAAAGCCACGCAATTATTTGGTGGTCGATTCAGCTTCATTGCCGCTGACAAATATCTTTGTGCAATGGTCTCCATCCCATCCTCATGGGATACATCCACACAAAACGCTTCTCTGAGGCCCAATCTGTCCAAGACAGCCCTCAATATCTTTCTGTCCATGCTTGAAACCACAGCACAAGGAACTCGGCTTCTAGCCAGCGCAGCCAACCATTCGTGCACTCCTGGGTGGGCTTGTGCAATCTCTGAGAAAAGATGACTGTACACCTCTGCCACCCGCCAAGCAAGGTGCCTGGCACGTTGCCAGTCTGAGGTCCAGAGCAAGACCTGAAATACAAAGAGACAGAGCGCAAATCACTTTCAGAACATGCCAACCTGGGGCAGCATGTTGATGAGCCCAAAGAACAAGAACAAAGGCACCACCTCGACCATTGGAATAAAGGCAACGCAGCTGCTACACAAAGACAGCGTGAGTTTACCAACTTCATGTGCCACAAACAATGGTTGCAGGTGTCACTCCCCTATACGCCACCAAGATAAATCCCTTGCTTATGACGCCATCACCACAACGATTCTTTACCTCTGTGATAGCCCTTGCCGGAGGCAAGTCGAGCATTTGCGGCCGTGGAATGTCTTGGATCGGCAACCCCTCTTCTTCTGCCACTATGCGCCAGGATCTTGCCTGCAGAGTGCGAGTGTCTGCAACCACGCCTTCAAAAGCAAACACTGCCCCTACGGCCTCGTCCGGCTTCATTGCGTGGCGCAAGCGCTGCGCACCTCGTGTTCGCAGCTTCAAGTTGATGGTGTCAACGTCCATCTTTTCAACCCATCCCCTGGACATGCAGTTCACAAAACCCTGCCCGTCGACAGGGATGCAGAGCAGTGAGACACATGGATGCTCATCAACAGAGAACTACAGACAGGGGGCGGCACCCTACACCACAAGCCACCGTAGTGCCCACGCTTGTTGTTTCGTGGTCACGTCAATGACCAGTAGTGCCCACAAACCGACAGTTCCCGATCTCTCCTCCAACACGCGGCAATCAAGGGTTGCAGAGGACACGGTGCTCCAAGCACATCCCCTCGTCGCCACTGCCGTTCAAAAGCACGCGCGCAACGGGGCAACAGTACGCTCCCACTGCTGAATTCCCCCAATCAAGCATCCAGCGGCGCGGAGAACGACACCGCCGTCTGTCCCGGATTACCTCCCCGTACTCGGCACCGATGGCGTCCATTCCGAAGCCCCGCGAAGGGCCAGGCGACCCGACGCCCTCCCATGGCTCCTCCCCTCCGCCGCCAGCCGCCCTGCAGCCCACAGGCACCCGCGCCCTGGCCTTGGGGTGTAGGGAAACGCCACCCAGGCCCGAAGCAACGCGGCCGGAGAACATCTCTGCCACGGCTCGCCAACGGCCGCGGTGGTTTTGATGTTAAGGCGGGTGTGCCCGGTCGGGGGTGGAATGCGCCACGCTGGCGCATGGGCGGTTACGTAACGACGAGGAACGGAGGCTTGCCCAAGCAGGGTGGGTGCAAGAAGGCTTTACAGACCGTCTCTGTGCCCATCCTTGGCCTGCGCAGCCCCCACGGTCTGCCCTCTCGGTTTGCCCACCTCCCACCTCCGAGCGCGGCTGCCGCCCTGGCGTGTGCCAGAGGCTCTCTGCCGCTGGACATAGGCGTTGGGCTGCTTGGCGGGCTGGGCGTGACGACGCTGCTGCCTCCCTCATTTGACGGGTGCGAGCCGTTGGTGGCGTTGTGCGGGCGCCATGGCTGGGGCCCGCCATAGTTGGTGGCTACCACGGCGGGGCTGATCCCCGGTGGGAAACTTGCGCCGGCGCATGAGTGGCACATGGGCGCCACGGTTGCCACAGGACAGGGTGATCGGCAGCATGTCCCACCGAGGCTGGGCTTGGGGACTTGGGGACTTTGGACGAATCTTGCCGTTCGAATCGCCGCTGGGGTGGCTGTGGGGGCTGCCAATCGCAGTTCGGAGGTTGTGTCCGCGTGCCTCCACACAAAGACAGGGCGGATCACCCCATTGACGCAAGGTGTCTGGGTCTGGTTGCTGAGCGTTCGTTTGGCGGCTGGAGGTGCGCGTATGGTCTGCTGGTGTGTGCGCCAGCTCTGTGCACAGCCGTGCCACACAGGACCGAGGGCATGTGTGCCTTGGTGTGTGGTGTCTAGAAAAGCATCGAAAGCACGCGCAGCCGTTGGGGCTCTAGGACAGAGCGGGCGACTCCGCCATAGAGCCGACTGCACGCGAATGACAGCGCAATGAGGGGCGGTGTTTCGAAAGTCCGTGTACTGTTATCCCGCCAGAGATACGAAAGTTTGTATAATGCACAAACGCCAAGGGCGTCGTCGCGTCCCGTGGGGCCGCGCCCATGTATCGGATGAAGCCCGGATTGCGGCTCTGACAGTCTGCGGTTGTGCCCCTGACCTGCAGAGCTGCTGCGACTTACTGAAGCGAGGAAAAATGAATGTGGACCGGCGGTCAGTACTACCAGCAGCATGCCAAGGTGGTGACTTGCAGGTCGGTGGTGCGTGGTTCAGACAGAGTCGTGACCACCATCTTCACCACCTCATCTACTCATCCGTGCAGTAACACAGGTTTTGTGCTTGTGCCAGGAAACCTCGTGCCGGCCTAAGCCTCCCTCCTTCGCGTTCTCTGACGCGTTTTCGGAACGAGTGAGTGTTGGCCGGTTCTTACACCTGGCTCTTGCTGCCCCTGCGAGTCGGTCAATGCAGGAGGCTGTGACGTGTTTGCCTTGATGTGTGCAGTTGTGGAAGTCGATGCGACTGAGCCCCAAGACCCTGGCGTGCGAAAAGGACTTCTATCTCAAGGCGCTTCGTGTTCCCGAAAAAGCCAGGGTTGTGTGGAAGTGCGTGCCGCCGCAAGGCTGCGTCGGGAGAACAGGAAAGAACGGCAAGGCAAAGGGCAAGGCCAAGCTGCAGGTGTGTGGCCCTGTGTGCGCTGTGCTCCCTGTTCGATGGGCGACTTGTGAGATCAGTTGCCCTCAGCAAGCCCAGCGGCGAGTAGCCAGTTATTGGCTTCCTTTGGGTTCTCTGCCATCGTTTGTTTTCGTGTGTGCATGTGTTGGTGCTGTCCAGCGTGCATGTGCTGATCGTTGTGGTGCTGATGATGTGCCCAATTCTTTTCAGGAACCTCTTGGATCCCTTGAATCTGTTGGAGGCAACCTTGCTGTCAGCAAAGCAAAGCCTATGGAGCCGAGCCGCAAACGTAAAGTTCTGAGTTGCACATCAGAGAAGGGGGCTGCAGGAAGACTGGTCTCCAGGCAGAGTGCAGCTTCAAACACCCAGCAAGTGGCAAGGGAAGCCTGTGGCCCAGAGTCCTCAGCAAACCACCACCACCCCAAGATAAAGAGACCGACCCCTCTTGAGGAGACATCGAATCAGAGCAACTCCTGCCACAAGATCATGAGCAACAACAGTGGGGGCACTGTGGAACATGCATCCAGCAGATCGGACTGGAAGAGCTCGGGTGGGAGTATGAACAACTTGAGCACACATGGAAGTGTTGCAGTGTCACAAAATAGGAGCATATGCTTTGTGGAAGGAAACAGTGGCAAAACATTAGAGGAGAAGGGGATCCAGTCCAGGAGAAGCAGCTTAGAAGACCTAAGCAAGGCTGCTCAAGACGGTGATCGTAGTGAGACCATGACCCAGCAATTCCATACGAAGTTGCAGCGGCTGATTGTTAAACCATTAGCCCTGGGTGATGGCACCCCATTGCCTAGCATGAAAGTGGTGGAAGACAGTGCGAGGGGCGAAAGGCAAGAGTCGGTTGCAATGAATGATGAAGAAGTGGCTATGCAGTTGCATCAGGTGCTGAATGCACCATCCCTCAGAAGCCATGTGAGGAGGAATTGCACAGGTATGAGGGGCTCATCTGCACGTCCTGATTCAGCAAGTTATTCAAAGACAAAGTCCTGCACTGGATGGAGCAAGGATGATTCACGGTCGCGGAGTTCAGGTGACGACTATTCTTGCCTTCCGGAAGAACGACCTGTGGCCTAGAATGTGCTGATTGTACACAGGATGATGGGCAGGAAGCAGCCTGTAGTGCATAGTGCTCAGAGCATTGTTTAAAAGTTAGGTCGTCTTTGGGGATTATTATATATTTTAGGGCCCAAGGAATGCCACATGTGGAGTGGAGTAGATAGTGTGTGCCTGTGGATATAGCTGGTGTTCATGCACAAATAGACCTCCATGCAATGTTTCCATTGGCGAGGATGCTTCACAGACCCCATCCTTGGGATGTGTGCATTGCCAGGGTCGCTGGGAGAGTGTCTAATCTATTGTTGCTCAATTTCTGGGGAAAGAATCACCCAATGCTAGGCAATTTGTTACCTATTAGATGTCGGACCTTGGTCCGAATATTCGCACTTGTTTTCCAACTACTTCCACATATTTTCCAACACTACAAGTATTTCCAATCTTCAAAGTTGCAACTTGGTGTTGGGATGCATCAAGGGACTGCTGCATCAGGTTTGGCCTTTGCGCAGTGCAGTGATGGGATTGTTTGACACAACACTGATAGTTCGCTGGCTGGTTCGCCATTGAGGAAGCGGTTCCAGAGAGGCAGTCCGGGAATGAGCTGGAGGTAACAGAATTGCGGACAGATTTCCATCAGCCATGCCTCTTTACAGTCGGACCATCCATTCAATCCATGTGTCATGACTATGTCATAGCATCACCCTCAACCTCAAAATTTGCGCATCGCCCTCGATGTTACCACTCGAGACTCCACAGCACCACAACTTGCTAAAGTCGACTAAAATATAGAGCAGAACACAGAACTCCTCAAGTTAAACAACCACCCAAGTCCATCATATCAACCGTAATCAAAGATGCACTGAATCACGTGCGGTCTATGCACTAGGATTATGAGCGCCTCAAGCGGGATCCCTGGGAATCTTACATGCAAGGAGAAATCTTCGTCCCTACTAGGCTCCACTGGCTTCCAGCCGTTGAGCTTGGGCAAATTCAAATCACCAAGGCACAATCAGAATCATTCAACTCGCACCGAAGAGAACAAGAGCTTGAAAGGTGGGTGGGGCCACTTGGGCACGTTCCATCCAAGTTAGAAAATCCTCACTAGGCCAGGTAGGCTCCATCAACCAACACACCAATCCAATCATCTCCAGAAGTAAGAATTAGGACCCCTAGGCATGTGACATCAAGATCACAAAGTCCCACTAGGGCGTAAAGAGCAAAGAGAGCCAAAAGAAACCAAGACGCATGTAAGAGTCAAAGATCATTGTTAGGAATCTATGGGTTCTTTGGACACGTTCGCTCTCCATTCGCACACAATCGCTCCAAGACATGGGAAGCAAGGCCATAACAAGATACATTATATAATATACATTCCAAATAAATAACAATCATTGCAAGAATGTCCATGTCCCGTCCCCATTTTCTCCATGTACATTCCACCATAACATACCATGCTCATTATAACCACTTATCATCATAAATCTCCATATCCCACATAATCACTCATTAATTGTCTTTTTGCCCTCATACACTTCTTTGCTATCATATACGTGTTGGCCTGGCCAAGGTAGCAAAACCCTGGTGTTGTAGCTCAATGGTGCGCTACTGGCCGGTTGAACTCATGCTGCAAGGGGGGGTCTAGATACAGACCCATGCACTGAGATGCACACTATTCATGGTGTGGGTGCACAGCATGGGCCCAAGAATCATGCCCAAGAGGGGGCTGGCAATGAGATACGAGCTGAAAGCTCACATTATAGTTCCAACCAACCACATATATGATTGGACATCAACATCTACTAATGTTCTCAATTTGGGATTTTCAGATTTCCGAGCTAAAGCCTCACTATGCTAGGCCTTTATGCCCATGTCATTCTGGCCTGCTCTACTTCGCACATACAGCCTCCATAATCTTACCAATGGGCCTCGCTCCGTTTGGTGGGGAAATCATCCCATATCTTAAAATTTCATGAAATTTATACTGAATAATCACCTTTAGAAATCTCATCCCCTTTCAAATGGCATCTCGATATAATCAAATCATATCCATGCATCTAACCCAATGTTCCCCTCTGGCCCCGCACTTCTTACACCACATTTGTTATAGACGAATCAACTGCCCTAGACCCTTTCATCATGGCTCGAGCTCGTCTTTCAGTGTCTCGACTTTTGTGTTCTACGCCCGTACCCAGCCCTCTACCCTAAACTTCTATCAGATGTGTTGTCCCCTCTCCTTATGATTTGCCTTTGCACATTGCTAATGTATGTATTTATTATAGTGTGTGGGGTAGGGGCTCTTACCTTCTGATACAACGAAGTTAGTGGTATGGGGCGCATGCCTTCTTTAAGCCGCGGACCCGCCTCGCCAGGCACCTAGGTCCTTATGGGGACCTAGGCGGGACCACCCCGACCTACTCCCATATCATATATCGTATAATAGAATAAGGTCCAGTTGTGGGTGGTGTTACCATATCTTGGCCTGATGTGGGGGACGCCTTGCCCAATGTGCGCAACATTTCGTCCCCCTTAGGGAGGTGGGACGTCCCCACCCCAGTGCGTAAATATGGATTAGATACATGTGTGGTTTACAAGCCTGTTGTATGCAGAAACTAGTTATACATCGCATCACATGCCCAGTTAACCACATTATATGAACAAGCAAATGTTGAAGAGAAAGAGTGGTTGTTACATGGAAAATGGTTCTGCGGACAACCCTCATTAAAACTCTTCCTTCTGCTTGCCGACTGGAAAGTTCATGCTATATTATAGTGCACAATTTTCTACCCTATGACCTCCTAGCCTGCTCGTGTCCAAGAAACGTTCAGGACATACAGGGATCACCCTGCACGTCCCCCTGCGCGGCCTCCTCGGGCCATCCACCCATGACCACGACCACGCCGGGTGTAGCCCGGGTTTCTGCCTCTACCCCGACCATGGGTGGCTGTGGACATAAACGGCCCATCACATTATATCCTCTCGCTGCTCATAATGGTGATGGATATGGTATTCATATGGCCATACTGCAAATGGGACCAGTTTCCTTGATAGCCGGTCTGTGCCCAACGCAGGAGTGCCTATCACATACAAAAAAACAGATATGCTCATGTCAATGTGTACATCTCATATTGCAACCAGTTTGCACATTCGCAACAAGAGTTCTGCTATTTTCAAATGCTTGAACCAATTACTGTGCTTTGGCAACTGCTTTTGTTGATTCCTAGCTGTTGTGCTCATGGCCGTAACCTAGCCATTTGACAAGGTACTATACAAAGTGTTACGTATAGGATGTGGATGTGGGGTTCCTGCCCTCTTTGAGCCGCGGACCCGCCTCGCCGGGCACCTAGGTCCTTACAGGGCACCTAGGCGGGACCACCCCTCCTACTCCCGTATCCTAATATGGATAAAGGTTACATTGGGTGAGGAATAGTACGTGCCTTGGGCAGGGCGTCCCCACACCAAGGGCCATTAGTAGGACGTCTCCCACATCAGGCTGGTGCGCGTAACATTCGTCCCCCTCAGGGAGAGGGGCGTCCTCGTCCCAGTATAAGTGAATACGGGAGCAGAAACATTGTATGTATGTTGGTGGAACTGGCTGTGCGATTTGCCACATGCCCAGTTAACAAAACACAACACACAAAACAATTTTGGATGAAGAGAAAGAGTGGTTGTTTTACATGACCGTCCCGGCCTTTACAACCCTCATTAAAACTCTTCCTCAGCCAAGTGGTTGGAAATGTTTGACCTCCCGGCCTTTCATCGGCGACCACGATGCCGAGTACCACCAAAAGCCCACGCCGGTCCAGATCGGCCCGGTGCGGCACCCCGCCGTCGCCCACGTCCGCGTGCACGCTCAGGCGCACGGGGAAATGGCACGTAGGGGTCGGCGGTCTCCAACCTCTCCCCGTTGAGGATCGCAACGGACATGGCGTTCATGTGTCCGAACTGCGACCTTGCACGGGGGGCAGTATACCCAGTGTTTTTCTGGGCCCAGCGCAAGAGAACCTGTCAAAAGCATAAGCACACATGAGCATGTTTCAGTATGTACATCCCGTACTTCATGCAGTTTGCATTCGCATCACAGGTGTTCTGCCATTCTCAAATGCTTGAACCAATTCCTGTGCATTTGCAACTGACTTTGCTAATTCCCAGCTGTTATGCTCATGTCCATATCCCAGCCATTTGACAAGGTACTCAACATAGTTTTTGCGTCTCCCACGCTTTTTAATCCTTTTATCAAGGATACGTTCAACTTCATACTCCAATTCACCTTCGATCTCGATAGGTACTGGGGGTGGCTGTACTCTGCCACTTGCTTTATAAGGCTTAATCTTCGATACATGAAATACTAGATGTATCCTATGCATGCTTTCCGGGAGTTCTAGTCGATATGCGACAGAACCTATCCGGTCGAGGATGGTGAAGGGCCCAATCCACCTCGGTAATAGTTTTCGAGTCCCAGGGTGTTTGAGAGTAATATGTTGTGTCGAAAGGAGGACGTCATCTCCTTTGCTAAACGACACCTCTCTTCGATGGCGGTCAGCATGCTTTGACTGCCTATCTCGTGCTTTCTCTAAGCACGCCCTGGCCTCTTTCAGCGCTGATTGGACACGGTGATCAAATCGTGTCACTGCTGGTAATCCCTCCACGAGGGGTGTACCAGACTGCCTCAAATAAGGCTGTTGCGCCCTTTCAATGGCCAC